TAAATTTTTATTTTATTTTAAAGTTTATAACCATCCTTACCTTATCTGTAATTTATATAATCATATATTCAGTTTGTAAAGTTTTGTGTAACATAAGAAATCAGGTGATGATCTTCGTGTATCAATCTTTTTGCACTGGACCATAATTGATTATTAAAATATAAAAATATATTTATTAATAATATTTATAACATAAAATATTATTATTAATCTTTTCTAAATTTATTAATATTTAATTATTTTGATCTATAATATATTTAAATTTATCAAAAATAATAAGATCTAATATTATTTTTTATTATTTTGATAAATTAACTATATTGAAGTTTTTCTATTTAAATTTATTTAATTATTTACCAAAAGAATCTATAATGTATTTATTACTATCAATAAATTCATTTTATCATTATTCTTTTATTTATTATCTTTATTTTCTTTATTTTCTTTTGCTTTATTAATTACATTATCTTTATTTTATCATCTTTATTTTTATTTTTATTATTATTTATTATATTATATCATCAGATAAGCTAAAATATTCTTAAGAAAATTTAAATAATTCTTTAAAAGGATTGATTTTACTTTTCTAATTAAGATTATAATTAATAAAGACATATCATATTTAACCTTGATTTTTTTGATAATATACAACCTTTCATACTCATCTATATCATTTATACTTTATTTTATACCTAAATTACATCTTGAATATTATTGATGAAAAAAAATTCATATGGATTAATACAGATATAAAATAATGTATAACTCTATAAATCTCAATAAAAATTAATAATAAAGTAGTTAAATACTTACCGAATAACTTTATTTAAAGGTTACACAACTTACATCATAATCTTAATATATGAGCCTCCTCAATAAGTTTTGCTTTTACAAATCTCTGTGTAGTTTTTCTGTCTAATGTTTTATTATGGTCATAGAAGAAGATAAAATAGATATGTCGCCAATACCGGCTGATAAATTTCTTGAAGATATATCCATTGATAGTTTAACAATAAAAAAAATTAAAAAAGATTGCCACGCAATAAATTTCAATCCTTTGAGATATGAAAAACTTCACAAATCTCGTTTCTAAATATAGAGGAACAGCCACAATTCTCTACAACAGCGGATAAACAAATGTAAATAGAGAAAATATTAATGATTTTAGATAACATTTATGATTTGATTGGTGAAGTTTCTTATTTTAGGAAAGAATAACTAATGTGCCACTTTATGAGTTCGTTTCCATAAGATCTATTCAAATAGGGACAATTATATTTTACATCAGTTTGTTCAACAAATACAGGTTTCATAGGCATCTATATCTTATAATTCATTATCATCATCAGCAATTATTATACATGTCTCTAGGGATTAAAAACCGACGTCTTGATAGCAATTCAATTACATATGGTGAAATCAATTGCTTCATTAGCTGGATTAGATATGCAGTCCGGACATCAATTTATTGGTGTATCGCTCAGATGGAGATAAAAGCTCAATTGCAGGAATAGCGAAGGAATTAGCAATGATAATCATGCGTAAAGATCAAATTCCCGATATGCTTTAAGATCTATAAATAAACGAAATTACTTAGTAAAGAAGTTGGAGGCAAAGTATTGGTTAATTTCACATCATTAATTCCTCTTTGGTGTGAATTGGTTACATTTATCATTGATGCTTTGGCAACATGTAATATTGGACAAGTTTCTAAATATGTTTTTTGTTCAAAGGATGACCCAAGCGAAACAAAAATGATGATTAATTTTCCTCATCACCTCTTTATTCTGGTAGAATTGAACTTTAAATATTTTTATTACGATCATTTTTTGGATTAAAAAAGGTTTAAATTATAATTTTGAACTATAGGGTCTAGTAATCATACCGCCATCAACTGTAATAGTAGCACCATTAGTAAAAGCGCCAGCCTTACTGGATAAATAAATCGCGGTGCCGGCAATATCTTCAGCTGCTCCAATTCTACCTAAAGGTACTTCAGAACTAATTATTTCGCCATGATCTTTCAATATTTTAGCCGACATTTTTGATTGATAAGGTCCAGGTGCAATATTATTAAATGTAATTTGACGATTTGATAATTGTCCCGCCATTACTTTTGTTAAATGATGTAAAGCTGCTTTGGAAGTTGTATATGCATATGCTTCGTTAAATGGTGTTATCAAACCGGTAATTGATCCAATATTAATTACTCTTGCCGGATCTTTTGGTGATGCAGCTTTTTCAAGTAATGGTAAACATCTAAATAGAAAAAGGATATACATATACATATTGTTTTTTAAAAATATCAAAAAAATATATATATAAATATAAATATAAACATATAAACAACTTACTCTTGTGTTAAACTAAAAATTCTTTTAACGTTCAAATTCATAATTTTCTATTATTTAATAATATAATAGTAAATATTAGCTATTAATTAGCTTTATTTGAGGGATATTTATAACTAATAATAACCTCAAAGGCCTCGTCCGGATAAGAAGAAATAGGAGCACCCCAAGTCGCACCAGCATTATTAATTAATATGTGTAGCTCTATTTAAATTAATATTTATTTATATAAATTAAATTTCTATTTGTATCGTAATAAAAATCATCGAACTTACTTCCTTCACGTTCTTTAATTTCATTAGCTAATCGTTTGACTTCATTTAAATGTTGTAAATTTGCCGGTATACTAACAGCTTTTCCTGGCCCTGATACAAATTTCAAAGAATTAACATGTAAATTTCAATAATTTATTCAATCTTATTAAAACTTTACCTTTATCAGATAATTTTTTAGCAACCTTATCACAAGTATCCTTGCTTCTTGAAGAAATATAAACTTTTGCTCCATTAGCTATAAATCCTGTTGCTATCATAAGTCCGATCCTATTTAAAAGAAAAAAAGAAATTAGAAATTTAAATGAAAAACAATCAATTTATATTTAATAAATTACCCTCTGGATCCTCCTGTAACCAATACAATTTTATCTTTAACATTAAATAATGAATTCAAATCCATTTTTAAATAGATTAATAAAAATCAAATAACTGTTTATAGTGTAGCGAATTGCTATCTGTACAAAAATGAGTGAATCAAATGAGTATAACACATATTTGTACACGGGGTGTTTGTACACTATGTGAAACATTCGGGTGACATATAATTTTTATGGTGCATGCTACCATTTTTTATCATTTTATCATATGATTTCGAATGAATAGAAAAAAAAATTAATTAATATTTACACTGCCGACATCGTCTTTTGCATCATTGTTGAAATGATTTCGTCATGACTCGGATTTTTATAAATCTTTTTTTAAATAATAATTATTGATATTAGCAATGATGATTATCTAAAAAAAAGAGTATAATTCTGAGATATTGCAGGTTTTATTAATAAAATCTATCTTAATTATCAGAACGCAAATAATATCACAATGTGTTATTAGCTACGTTAATAATATATTTTGCCCATTTATCTCAAAAGTAGTATATATTTTATTTTTGACATTCAATTCGATATACCCATTATACTTATGTATTAGAAATTGGGTTATTAATATGCTTTTTTAGACACGAATCTAAGATTTCTTGGAATTCCACTGAATAATATTGATTATTATAAAAATTGGCATAATTTGCAAAAATTCGTAATTACAGTCGTCCCTCTCTATAGTCACCCCATTTACCCCTTGATAAGCACACTTACATTGGCCCAAGAAACAATAAAAAAAAACCTCTCTTTAGTCACATCGTGGGTGTGACTATAGAGAGGATCGACCTGTTTATGAAGTTTAATCTTCACGTGTATAGATTTTGGTTGTACCAATCATATTAAAGAACGTTTGATTATAAACGTGTTTTTTTTTCTCCGTTTTTCTTTATAAGGTAGTTACAGTCAAGTATTTATTGTATTACGTGTTGTTGAAAACTTTCTTTTTTTCAAAAGCCTTTACCGAAAAAAAAAACTCGACCTTTGTCGTAAAATGGGTTGTTCGATAACTTTGTTCGTTTTGAATTTTTCGTTTTGCTTTATTTGATAAATTTTACGTGATTATGGGATAATTATTATCAAGATATTATTCTTTGGATATTTAGCGTAAGAAAGAGTGTTGATGGGAGTGTGTAGATGACACACAATATGACTTATGAATCAAAGACGATAATATTGATTTAATAACTTACTTTAACGTGACAATTCCTATGGGATGGGTTTGCTAGTTTTTTGGTCTTTTTAATTTTAATTTTTTTTTTTTTGACCTCACTCTTTCTTACTAACGCGTTTAATCCCTTATTTGAACAAACATTTTGGAATGTTTATGTTGAGATTAACAAAATAATATTGATGGGAAAATTGTATTAATTTAATTGAAAGACCAATATGATCTTTGGATGATGCCCGAATATTTAGGACGCGATATGTAACAATAGATGTTATGGAAAAGTTCGTTGTTGAATTAGAAATAGATAACACTGCTCGAAGACATGATCTTATGACTTATGAAAGATAGACGATAATATTGATTTAATAACACATATTTTATAGTGTCATTTCGCGTTGATTGGTTTGCTATATCTTAGACCACATTTATTTGTTTTTTTTTTATACTTCAGTCTTGCTAACGTGTTAAATTCCTTATTTGGACAAACGTTTTGAATGTTTTGGTTGAGATTAACAAATTAATATTGAGGGAAAATGATTAATTTTAATTGGAAGAACAATATGAATTTTGATGATGATATTTATTTCTGAATATTGAGAACGCGATATGTACTAGAATAATGCTTATATTCGAATATTATTGAGGACGCGACATGTAATATAATGGGAACGTGTATTAATTATCGTGAAGAAGAACAAGAAATAGATGATATTGGATGGTTTTTGTGTGACTTATGAATTATAGACGATAATATTGATTCAATAATTTACTTTATCGTGACAATTCCTATGGGATGGGTTTGCAAGATCTTTTGTCTTTTATTTTTATTTTATTTTATTTTGACATCATTCTTACTAACGCGTTTAGTTCCTTATTTGGTCAAACACTTTGGAATGTTTATGTTGAGATTAACAAAATATTGATGGGGTAATTTAATTGAAAGAACAATATGATCTTTGGATGATGCCCGAATATTTAGGATGCGATATTTATACAATAATGCTGATGGGAAAGTTCGTGTTGAATGAGAAATAAATAACACTGCACCGAAGACATTTTATGACTTATGAATGATAAACGATGATATTGATTTAATAGCACATATTTTATAAGTGACATTTCGCGTTGATTGGTTTGCTATATCTTAGACCTTGTTTGTTTGTTTTTTTTTATACATCAGCCTTTCTAACGCGTTAAATTCCTTATTTGGACAAACATTTTGAATGTTTTGGTTGAGATTAACAAATTAATATTGAGGGAAAGTGGTTAATTTTAATTGGAAGAACAATATGAACTTTGATGATGAGATTTATTTCTGAATATTGAGGACACGATACTAGAATAATGCTTATCTTCGAAGTTTATTGAGGACGCGACATGTAATAGAATAATGCTATATCAATTACCGTGAAAAACAAGAAATAGATAATATGGGATATTCTTTTGTGACTTATGAATGATAGACGATAATTTGATTCAATAATATGCTTTATATGACAACTAGCGTGGA